CGTTTGTGTAGTTCTCCTATTCTTACAAGCTGTGACTATACGTTACCGTTCGTTTTACAATTTGACGCTTGTCAAACTGGTCTGGGTGCAGTTCTTTATCAGAAACGAGATAATTTATTAAAAGTTGTCGCTTACGCTGAAGCAGGGAGTTTTATACCGACCTGTGGAACATGAAGGTGAGATAATTGAACAACTCGTACTTCCAGGTCATTATAGAAAATTAGCATTTCAGGCTCTGCACGATGACCTTGGTCACATGGGTAGAGATAGAACTATGATATTGATGAGGGAAAAATTTCATTGGCCTGGTATGGCAGGTTATGTTGAACTTTGGATCAAGAATTGTGAACGCTGTTTGAGACGAAAATCTCCCTGAAATATTTGAGCCCCTTTGGTGACTATAGAAACTACTCACCCCCTTGAAGTTGTTGCGATGGATTTTCTGACATTGGAACCATCTAAGGGTAATTATCAGTATATTTTAGTTATAACAGATCTGTTCACAAAATATGCTCAAGCAATACCCACACGGAATATGACGGCTCGTACAACGGCAGAAGTATTTTTCAATAACTTTATAGTTCATTATGGTTTACCAAGTCGGATACATTCTGATCAAGAAGCTAATTTCGAGAGTAAAATTATAAAAGAATTATGTAGTTTAGTAGGTATGACTAAATCCCGCACCACAGCTTATCACCCGATGGGTAATGGGCAATGTGAAAGTGTTGGGTACACTTACGACGGAGAAGAAAAGTGATTGGAAAATACAAGTAGCAACTCTTGTACATTCATATAACTGCACGCGACATGAAACCACTGGATTTTCCCCTGTTTGGACGTCACCCTCGTCTTCCAATAGATTTAGCGTTTGGAGTGAGTCGAGATGTGTCTAATGTGTCATTACATTCGTATGTGAAAGCGTTAAAGGAACGGTTACAACGTTCTTGTGAATTAGCGATTTCATCATCGGAGAAGTGTAAAGAACAGAAGACAAAGGTATTCGTCTTGATATTGGTGATCGTGTATTAATGCGTACTTTAGCGTTTCAAGGAAAACACAAACTAGTTGATCGATGGGAACCTGATGTTTACATTGTTGAAGATCAACCTAATTTGGAAATTCCTGTGTTTGTGATCAGACCAGAGTCTGGGCGTGGACGATCGCGTACTTTACATAGAAATAATTTGTTATCAATCAATAGCGTTGAACCAGTGTATTTTCTGACACCAAAACCGAGAAAGCGACAAATAGTAATTGAGCCTAAAGTAGTTGCGGAATAATGTGTTGAATCGGATTCAAGTTCTGAGGAAGAATTTAATTATGTAGAAGCCAATCCTGTAAATGAGAATTGCCCGGATGCTATTCTTACGAGAGGAGGGGAAGGTGACCATGAAATTATCGAGGATATTGTTGAGGGGGATCATAATACCGAGATATTTCATTAGGCATCTATAATTGATGAACATACTGAGGTAAAATCAGTTGTTGAAGTTAATGTTTCAGGTAACATCGTAGATAATAATCAAAGTCCTCTACCAACAGATGAATCGATTGAAACAAGACCTCGCAGAATAAGTAAGCTTTTTTAAAACCCTGTCTTGTGTTATCAATCAAGAAATCTATTTCCCCGAACTAAGCAGGTTTAATCTACCAACTATACTACACCATTGCAGGTGATGGAAAGGGTAGGTCTGCAATACATGTATACACAATTTGCGTACAAAGAGCGTCCATTTTGCGGGCAGTTTCATTTCGATTTTTCCGAAATTCAAATTCAACCTTCGTTATGGTGGAATGGTGATATATCTAAACGGTTTTTAAAATCGGAAAATAACTTGTGGCCTCTAGAGAATCCACAAGCTAAAAATGCGATTTTTCGACCAATCAGAGAGCATCAACCAGGAAGTTACTTTCGGAAATGTGTGATTATCAAAATATCGTAAAGTCATTAGGGTGTAACGGTGATATGCTAAATCGGACAAAAAAGTGTGACCTCTAGAGGGACCACAAGCTAAAAGCGCGATCTTTCGTACAATCAAGGGCCATAATTCAGGAAGGTACGATCCGATATACGCGAATATCGAAATGTCATTAGGGTGTAACGGTGATATACTAAAACGTTTTTCTTTTAATCAGATAAAAATTGTGACCTCTAGAGGGACCACAAGCTAAAAGCGCGATTTTTCGTACAATCAGGGGCCATAATTCATGAAGGTACGGTCCGATATGCGCGAATATCGAAAGGAACCAAGGTCTTTGGAATATAAACATGCATTCCAAGTTTCATCAAAATTGGATGAAAATTGTGACCTCTAGAGGGTCCACAACTTTGATATACTATATTTGCACACTATCTGCCATTTTGTCCGGCTGTCTTGGTCCGATTTTCACGAAATTCGAACTCAACCATTATTAGGGTGTAACGGTGATATATTCAAACGTTTTATTTTTAAATCGGATAAAAATTGTGACATCTAGAGAGACCACAAGCTAAAAACACGATTTTTCGTACAATCAGGGGTCATAATTCAGGAAGTTACGACCCGATATGTGCGAATATCGAAAGGAACCAAGATCTTTGGGTTATAAACATGCATTTCAAGTTTCATCAAAATCGGATCAAAATTGTGACCTCTAGGGCGACCTTCGGTTATCGTAATTTCCTGACTGTGGTCAAACTAAATGAATCCGAATTTCATTTAGTCCGGACCATAGTCCGAAAATACTGAACCATGCTATTGTGGCATGGTCGGAGTAGTTCCAAGATGGCGGTGTAGAATATTTAAAAAGAATCTATTTTTGTTACGTATATGATTTTAGGAAAGTTTGAATGAATTTTAAATGGTTGCTACTTCTATGATCAGATATTTATTGTCTCGTATGTTATGTCTGAATCTATGAAAGTCTAAAAATTACGCATAATTTCAATACTTGCGCTATGCAAAAGGTAAAGTCAAATTACAAGGAATTTTGTCGTCTCTAAAATTAATTTGATTTGCGCAAATTTACCTTCATGAAAGTATTATTTGTTTATCAAACTATATAAAATAGCGATTCATTATCCTCCACAGAGGAATGTATAGATCTTCCTTGAGCTTAAGGTATTTTTGGGGTTATGGTCAAGGTCTAAAGCAGAGAAAATGGACATCACCATGTCCCTGGGGGCAACCATCTTTGAACAGACGATTGTCCGGACTATCCGCGTTCGGTTTTTAGTTCCGACCACTAGTCGTGAAAAAAATGTAACCGAAAGTCGCCTAGAGGGTCCACGAGCTAAAACCGTGATTTTTCGTACAATCAGGGGCCATAATCCATGAAGTTATGGCCCGATACATGCCAATATCGAGATCTTTGGGAAATAAACCTACATTTCAAGTTTCGTCAAAATCGGATAAAAATTGTGACCTGCAGAGTGTCCACAAACAAATTGTGGACGGACAAAGGAACGCCCGGACGGACAGGGGCGACGACAATATACGTCCACATGAAAATGTGGGCGTATAAAAACTGTGACCCAATTTTGTAAACTCTGAGATCTGTCATAGACCTACATGTAGGTTATTTCTACTTGTGATCAGTGGCGGATCCATATGTGGGGTCCCTAGCCCCATCCCCTCACCAATAACAGTATAAATTTCACAACATGTGTTTCAACGAAATATGTAAATTTGAATTTTTTGGTGCATGGGGTGATGTGAGATGCCTCACCCCTAACAAAATATTATGTGCCCGCCACTCAGGCAATAGCCTATGATCCCTAGCCCCACCCCCTACTCCAAAAACTGTATGAAATTCGCTAATTATTGTGTTTCTGCACAAGTGTTGCTTGGGGTAACGTGGGGATCCCCCAACCCACCCCAACAAAATTTTCCGCATCCAGCCACTCAGTCAGGTGCTGCCTCACTAACCAGGAGATCCGTTGTGTGTGGAGCATAAAACAGTTGGTATTCAAAACAATAAAAGTAGGTCGTAGTACCACTGTACAGGCAAAATTTAATCATATCACATTACACAGCGTATGTATGGATAAGTATCCCTTCGCTCCTTCTTGACTAAGTGTAAAGCCAGAAAGCAGTGACAAATGGCCCTAATCTCGCTCTGAAGTTCAACGCGAAGGTAAAAATTAATCACTCACTTCTCTGCTTCGCCTTATTCATTTCTTGCGACTTGCTTTGATATGAGTTAACAGCGCGAAGGACGGAAACGAGCAAGGCGAAATTAAGAAGTTTTTTTTTTGATTCGTTCTGATTTTTCCTGCCTTTGCGCTGAAGTGAAGCTCATAGGGAAGTGAACCAACATCTGAAGTCCAGAAGGAGCTAAAGAGTACCCATCGGCTTCCATACGTATGCCGGTTTTCATCAGCCTGGTTGGTACAGAAATCAGAAGCATGGTGGTCCACTAACCAGGGGGTCCTGGATTCGATCCTACCGAATGTTCGCCAAGAAAGTACCTCAGGATTTTCCAGCGTTGGTTACTGTTTTCACTGATGCAAGATGGAGGGCCTGGCAAGGAACCGTATCTTATATTCGGACAGGTGGAAAAACATGACAGAATTTAAAATAAGATTAGGCCATAGCGCTGCTGTTCAGCAAAAGTACCTAATAGTTTACTATAATCTTGCGTAAACCTGTCTTCATTACCCCATATGGTGCAGAAAAGTAGGATACTAAACCCCATTTCATAACGGGGGTTTAGTATGGCTCAAAAACCTTGAGGTACGTTGGTTGATCGCTGTGTTGGTAGAGAAAGTTCATCTGTATTTTCCGACATGCCCCCCCCCCTTGTCAGTGGTTCAAAGAAAGAAAAGGTCTAAATGTACTCTAGATTTGGTCAGGCGCATAGGTTAGGGGACTGCTTTTTTGGCAGTTAGGGGGTGGGAGTCGGGGTGTTGCTAACCCACAAAGGTCTATGGACTAGAGTGTTAAGCTCAGTTCATTTCTTTTCAATAGTCCAATCTATTTTTACACAACATAAACGTTTTTTTTAAAACTAGCCAGTATTTACAAAAAACATTTAGTGTACACAAAAATATGAACATAAAAATTAAAACCATATAATGCAAAAATGAGAAATATCATCACTGTCACTGTATCACAGTCTAAAGTAGAATTGGCATTAATTATACAAAGTTCTTGCCGGATTCAGTTCCTCAAAAAAAAGGTGATGTGTCAGTATTGTTTGTGTCAGTAGATGAGGTTGGTAATTTATCCATCATATTTTCTGCTGGTAAAATATATACTGAGCGCCATGGAAAACGCATCACTTAGTTTTTCGTATAACAAAATGATCCTGTAAACATATCTTATTTATTTTGCTTCTTATGGTGAACAATATTGAAATGGGAACACATCAATAACAACACATTTGTACACTTATGGATGTTTAATCTGTAATCAACGGTATAAAGTCAGAGGGGTCAAAACCAAAAGTACGACATGGATGTCAGTAGCGCGTGTGTCCTCCACGGGCTCTTACGCACGCGGTGCAGCGACGTCGCATGGAATTTACCAATGTTTGAAAGAAGGCCTGGGGCAAATTGTTCCATTCTTGGACAAGAGCAGCTTCTAAAGCAGCAATGGTGTGCATCTGTGGTCTGTGATACAGACGGCGTCCAATCTCATCCGAGACATGTTCTATCGGTGCCATGTCCGGAGACATGGCTGGCCAGTCCAAGACTGATGTTGTTAGCAGCCACGTAGTCCATACTAAAACGGGCGGTATGCGGACGTGCATTATCCTGTTGGAAGTGCTGAAGTTGTGGGTGCGCTCGAAACATCGGAACAACAATTGGTTGCAAGACATCATCACGGTAGGCTACAGCATTAACGCGACCCCTGCAAATGTGTAGGGCGGTCCGGTGATGAAATGTGAAGCCTCCCCACACCATTACACTTCCCCCACCCCATCGATTCGTTTCGAAGACGCAGAAGTCTGCAAGACGTTCCACAAGACGTCTCCACACACGTGATAAAGATGAAAGCGACTTTCATCACTGAAGAGCACACTTTGCCAGTCTACTCTTCTCCATGTCTGGTGTCCTTGAGCCCATATCAAACGCCGCTGACGGTGATGATCCCTGAGGATAGCTCCAACATAAGGTCATCGTGCACGGAGTCCTACTTCTCTTAGACGACGTCTTACTGGTCCTTGTCTTCCGACGACTGCTGCACCTGTTCGAGTCGCTGGGCGGAATCTGACACGCAGGTGAGTGACCCGGATGTAGCGGTCTTGAGCCTGGGTTGTAACGCGTTGTGGGCCAGGACGTTGACGGTCACGTGTTGATCCAGTAACTCGAACACGTTCCACCAACCTTACAATAGTGGACTGATGACAATCGAAGTGTCTGGCAATAGCACGTGTAGACATGCCAGCCCTGGACATTCCCATGGCTTCATTGCGTTGATTTTCAGTAAGTCTCGGCATGCCTAGCTCGATTCCTTCACACGTCCAACAACAAATTACGACAGATTGACGTTTCACAGTTCATGTACTGCACATTAAGTTGAAAACATGCTTTTAAAGGGCTCACACACAATGCTGCACGTGAATATTGGGTTTTTCATGTGCATCTCGTGCAATTTTTTTTTGTGCACACGGACCGATATTTTTTGCCTTTGGGAGTATTGTGTGAAACAATAGTTCATAGTATTGCATAATATTATACATACAAAACCACCTAGTAATAAAATATTTGGGAAAAAAAGTGATGCGTTTTCCATGGCGCTCAGTATATATATAACCTTTCACTTTTAAATTGTGTAATGGTGAATGAAATAATTGGATGATCTGTAACTGTCAGTTCTGAAATAAATGAAGGTGGGTGTATTAATGAATAATCAAGACCTAGGTGGGTTATATCAGGAAAAACAGAAGTTTTTTTCTGTAATCTATGGTTAGCTGTGCAATGTGAGCACTTTTCACTCAAAGTCATTAAAAACGCAATGCCTAATTCGTGAAATATTTCTGGTAAACGTTTTCTTGGGCTTTCCTATCTTATAGCACATAGGTCTCTTTTTGTGAGGTTCTGGTTTGAACCCATTATCAGTTCTCGGTAATGAACTTTGTTCGTGCAAACACAACACTTGTCTTTTTTCACGATTTTAAGCAGTCCCATGTCACACATTTTGCACGTGCATTCCCTGCACTCTGGCCCTTTAAATACAGATCAAAATTTCAACATGCATCACTTCGGAAAAATGTCCCGACCTGGAGCGCCACCTGTAACAACCGCTGCTCAAGATCGCCACATCCGACTACATCATCTACGCAATAGGTTCCAGTCAGCTACTGCCACTGCCAGGGGAACTGTTGGAACACGGCAACGTCACATCAACCCTAAAACAGTCCGAAGGCGCCTGGCTGCTCTTGGGTTACGCTGCCGTCGACCTTACCAAGGTCAAATCCTTTTGCATCGTCATCGACTTGCCAGGCAGCAATGGGCCGCAAATCATGGGTATCTGCACAACACACCATGGCGAAATGTCATCTCCTCGGATTACTCCCTATTCAACCTCAGTTTTCCTGATGGACGTCACTGTATCTACCGACGTCGACATGAACGCTTTGGTCGTAACTGCGTGCATGAAAAGGATCGTTTAGGGGGGGGGGGGGGGTAGCGTCATGGTTTGGGCCGCTATCAACATCAACTTCCGGCCCCATTTGGTGGTGGTCGAAGGCAATCTCTACGCTCAACATTATATTGACGCCATCCTTCGTCTGGTGTTGCTCCCATGGCTGGCTCAACATGGCGTCCGTCGACAGATGGTTTTCCAGCATGACAACGCCCGACAACACACTGCCAGGTTGACAAGAGACTTTCTGAACAATCATCATGTCCGTCTTATGGATTGGCCCGCTATATCTCCCGACATGAACCAGATCGAACACCTTTGGGATGAACTTGGACGACGGGTTCGAACTCAAGTCGTGCCACCACGAACTGTTGCAGAGTTGGCACAGGCACTCCAAAATCATTGGCAAACAATCCCATAGCGTGTAGTGAGACATATGTGCCAGTCTATGCCAAGGCGACTTCAGGCATGTGTAAGAGCTCAGGGTGGACATATCCGATATTGACTTTAGCTGACCCCTTTGTTTCATGGTTCTCTGACGTTTCGGTTTTGTGCATTTGTAGTGAATTCTTTAATGAAATTATCCACAGATGCTTGTTATCTCGATTTTGTCAATTCTTATGTACATTTGTTAAAAGTTGTTCCAGTAAATAAACTTTGAATTTGGCATTGCGTTTTTAATGGCTTTGAGTACTCCCTCAAAATATCAAATATGCACTGTGAGTTTGCACACAGGATCTCATTTATCAAAAGACAATATAATAATGATTTAGTTATGAACAAACTTCTAAACATTATTTTTCAACTAACTACTTATCTTGGCAAATCGCTTCTGGTCTTCCAACTGTAATCATTTCATGAAATACTGATCCTACTAATCAAAACCTATTTTTGTATCTCTTCTGTTAGCATATTGGCCTCGCTGATATTATTTTCAAATTCGTCGTACCGGTACATGGACCATCATTTGGAATCATGGCCATAACCTTTTCATTTCCGCCGTTTTCCAGCCACTCTTCAGCAATGGTCTTAAATTTGTCCTATCTGGATGTATATCAAGACTTAACCTTCTACTTAAGAGGACAGCAATGCCATGTTTAAATTATGAAGCATCTCATTGGTCAAATCACGTCACGTGACCATTTTAGTCAACCAAAAACCTCTCCAAACACTCTTTGATTGAGCGGAGATATGGAGCGCGAAATTTAAAAGCGGATTTTATAAAAACTGCAGGGTATTTCTCTAAGAACTTTGATTTTTCGAATGAGACTGATATAATTAACACATTATTTCACTAAAATGTTATATTACTTTTTGATGGAGCAAAGTTGGCAAGATATTCGATGTCAGCTACTGGCCTATAAGGGCTGTTGCAAAAAACGCGATTTCTCCGTCGGTTATTACCGGATCAAAACAACTACTACATAGTATAAAAACTATTGTTTTTGTTCGGAAAGCCTATTCTGATTACTGAAATTATTATTATTATTCTTTATCTTTACCGCCTATATTTCGAAGACTGTTAGAGATATCGATCAGGGGTTTCGATTTCTAATGGAAAACTATGTGACGGCTTTCGGAAAATCAAATTCCAAAGTTCTGCTTAGAACGGAAGTGCCCGAATTGTCGAAAACGGGAAGTCGGACGCAGTTTCAAAAGCTCTTTAGCTATTCCCAAAATTATTACATTTTTGGATAGCTTGTCAAAGGGTCTAAAACAGTGGTTTTCACATGGAACACATGAAAAAAAATAGCGGCACACCTGGTTAAATATATATGAAAAATTTTGCTGGTTAAATATGTATGAAAAATTTTGGAATTTTGCAGAATAAAAACATGGCAAGTCATAGACGGCATACAACCGTAGACACAGACTAGTCATAGACACATAGAATGACTCAAGCTAAATAAAGAAAAACACAGCTATGAACTTACCTTATTGTAGTATTTCGAATTTCATCTGTCAAATAGCTGGCTTTATTAGTGATAAATTCTCTTAGTGTGCCGTTCAAAATTTCGCGGCACACTTAAGAAGATAGTAGTTGAATTTTTGAAATTACATCGCTGTCTATTTTGACCCGAAATGGTTAACAAGTTGTTTACGAGGCAATTTTTGTTATTTTTCAAAATTTTCAAATCCTACCTACATTTCTGGATAGCTGGGTTCAATGCGATTCCAGTAAAATAAATTTCATTCAGAGTTATTGCCCTTTTTTCGAATATTTTCCAATTTTTTACCCCTTATTTTTGTTAAACAGCCTATTCGATACTTCTGAAACTTCTGGAACATGATGTCATATGGTCAAACTGAGGGATAAAGCTATCCCGACAATGATTAGTAAACCGGAAGTCTCGAAATAATGATCTAATTTTTGAAAAACTGCAAAAATCCATTTACATCAAAAAGTTTTATATAAGCGACTGAACTTACTGCCTCCTTGGACGCATCTGCGAATACGTGTAGTTCACGACGAGCACAATTTAATAAGGATATATTTGTGTATGCCCTGGGGTCTTAAGGTTTTCAAGTTCAACTAGAGAATCTCTCCAGTTCTCCCATTCACATCTCAGACTGTCTGGTAATAGTTCATCCCAATCTGACTTATTTAATGCCACAGCCTTCTTGAGAATAAGTTTTCCGCCTAATATAATTGGTGACACCAATCCAAGTGAGTCGAAAATACTGTTTATTGTTGATAACAAGTCCCTTTTGGTATATGGTTTATGTTCCTTAGAAACCTGATAACTGAAATAAATATTCCAGCACAGACCTAAACTTCTTTGAATAATGGAGCTTTCTGTATTGAAGTCTAAAGCACTCATATCACTTGCTAGATCTTCTTGGGAAAACTAGCAAGGACCTCTTTGTTGTTTGATGAAATTTTATGAAGTCTTAAATTTCCATTTTGTTTTAATCTATCATGTGTCCTTTTCATCAAACTAACAGCTGAATCTATATCTGCTAATGAAACCAAACTGTCATCAACGTAAAATTTGTTGTTTACAAAATCGTAAATCGTAAATGTCACCACAAGTTTCAGATTCCTCATGACCACACACAGATTTCCTTAAGCGATGGCGATGGCGAGTTGCCAAATACATGCACACACATTCTGTATTCTACTAATTCTTTGTTCGGATCATTATCTTTAAACCAGATGAAACGTAAAAAGTTTCTGTGTGGTTCATGAACATAAAAGTTGAAAAACATTTGTTGTATCACAGCTGTTACAGCTATCCTTTTCTTATGAAAGTTTATCAATACACCTATCAAACTATTTATTAAAAATGGTCCTGTCATAAGAGCGCCATTTAATGAATGTCCTTTAAACTTTGCCGACGAATCAAACACAACGCGTATTTTATTTGTTTTTTTAGGATGGTAAATCCCGAATATTGGAATGTACCAACACCCCTCTCCTGTGCTTAAAGGATCAGCTATTATTGCATGTCCCTTTAAAAATATTTTTTTTCATAAATTGGCAAAAATGTTTTTTTTTACTTTGATTTTTCTTTAAACCACTAGGAAGACTTTGAGGTCCTTTCTAAATGGCAGTGGGGCACTCCAATCACCTTCTGGCGTTTTTATGAATTCCGTGTTCATAATCTTTAAAAATTCCTTATCCTCTTGTGAGTAGCCTTGTGTGTCGTCGTCCTTGGTTTTCTGAAATATATCAGGTCCGATTCCTATTTCACATGATTTATCCTGCAAGTCGAAATTATTTGGACATGGTTTTAATACCGAAGTTCTACCGTTACCTAGTACACAAGTTTTGTTCACATTCACTGTATCTGGTTGATGAACGAGACCTAAACATGTTTCACCAATGATCACCCAGCCTAACCTTAACTTCTGGGCATATGGCTCATTGCCTAGTCCTATTTTCTGATCTAAAACATGATGTGCGGAAATCACGTCACGTCCTAATAATAAAACGATTGGTGCCTCAATGTCATTGTCTGGAATGAATGACCATATATCTTCTAAATGTTTATACTGTTTGACAACCTCTGGTGTGGGTATTTCATGCCTAGAATTTGGTATCTGATTACACTCGATGAGAGTTGGTAATTCAGCCTTGTATTCATCGTCCAGTGACTCAATGATATAACCATCAGTACGTCTACCTGCTGACGTCACATGACCTGAGCATGAAGACAGAATATATTCCATCTCAAGCGAGTTTTCACCGAAGAAATCGAAGAATTCTGTTCCGGCGAGAGACCTATTACTTTGGTCATCCAAAATGACATATGCCTTAAGTGCCTGTTCGGGTTGAGTTTTGTGATAAAGTTTTGACAACACAATCTTCGCACATTACTTTCCTTTGAAGGAGTCGCCACAAATTTGAGTACACTTGAAATTAACCTTTGACCTGTCCCTATTAATCGATTTAAGTTCTGTATTGTCTATAGTTTTGAGCTTAGTCTGTTCCCCGCCATAGTTTCTCGAACCTTCGGTTTTGTCTCTATGAAATATTACGCAGAGACTACTACTATTACAATGTTCGCACCTAATATTTTCTTGGCAGTCTGGAGCCAAATGTTTGCCTATTAAACACTTAAAACAGAGTCCGTTTTTGAGGACCACATCTTTTTTTCCTTCTTGTGATTTTGACAGAAAATCGCGACAGTACTTGAGTGTATGTTTAGCAGGTTGATCATGCTAATGAACACATGATAATATTTGCAGTTTCTGAAGATTGTAAATCGTTTTTCTTAGTTGACAACTGTGGTCTGTTTCCATACTGTTGTGATTGATAACTTTAAGAAAATTTTTCTGTGCTATCTGAATAACTAGGTTTAGGGTTTGTGTAATAATCATATAGGAAACTAGGATCGTTTATACGAATAGCCATATCTCTAATAAATTCTGCAAACTTTATAGCTAAACTCTACTTTATACCTAAATTCTACTTTATACCTAATAGCACGATCAGTCCACCTAGCCTGAAGAAACCCCGGTAATTTATTTACTATCGGATTTATTCCTGAGGAAGAGTCAAAATATGACAAAGAAATCCTATAATGTTCATTTTCTTTCACATTTTCCATTTCAGATAATAGGTCTGATAGCTCGTATAGTTTTTTGGTGTCTCTATTTAATAGTTTGGGGAATCTGTTTAATCTTTCCTTTAAAGAGGCTTCTACCAGTTCGGGTGCACCGTATCTATCATCGACCCTTTGCCAAATGAGAATTATGGCTTTGAAGGGGTCATGAATGTTTGCAGCACGGAAACTAACTGCATGCTTTTTTGATTCCGAGCCTAGCCACTTTGATAATAAATCTAGTTCTTCAGACGGGGTTACCTCAAGATCTTTCATGATTGACTGGAAACTGGTTTTCCATACAAGATAATTTTCTGGTTTGTCTGTGAATTGTTTTATTCGTGATAATAGAAGATCTTTCTTTACAAGATATTTTGAGAGTTCAGAAATTCCATGATTTTCCGTATACTGTGCATTATGTGTATTTGGATTGAATTCTAATGCCTCTGACCTTAAAACAGTTGTCTTTTTGTAAGATTGTTCATCATGAAAGTTCTTGGGTCTAATTGAGATGGGGGTCTTCACAAATTCACACGGTGTGGGAATCTCTGGGGGAAGATCTTTAACATACTGTTCGGTTCTTAACTTCGTAATTGTCTGAATTTTTTGACTGTATATCGAATTGTTCTTCTAACATTTCATTCATAACCTTTAATTCAGCCTCATCAACCTAATCTAGTGATATGATCTTCTGTGACTTGATCATACGCTAACTGTCCTTTTTCCGTTAATGTCCTTTTACGTGACTCTGCTCCAGCCATCCTTTGATCTTTATTAAAGACTTTTTACTGTAATGTTCTAGGGTCTACAAGCCTTGTAAATCCTAAAGTCCTTTATTATCTTTACATTACAAACCCATGGATAGGCAAGTGGGGTAAAAAGTTACAAAATACAAAATAGCTAAGTATGAATAATATATCTATAAAATCTAAAATCTACAAAGAATCTATCCTTGATTTCTACAGCCTTATCTTAATTCAGCCTTACACTATAGTAAATCACAAAAATTAAATGACTTGGCCTTATTCCTCATACCGTTATCAATATGACCTATGACCTGTATTGTTCAGCTCTAAACTCATTTTCTCAAAGATGTTAGGGACCCTTTATCTTCTAAATTTATTTGTTGTACAGTTTCTTAAAGTTTATGTCTAATTATGCCTAATCTAGTGATATGATCTTCTGTGACTTGATCATACGCTAACTGTCCTTTTCCCGTTAATGTCCCTTTACGTGACTCTGCTCCAGCCATCCTTGGATCTTTATTAAAGACTTTTTACTGTAATGTTCTAGGGTCTACAAGCCTTGTTAATTCTAAAGTCCTTTATTATCTTTACATTACAAACCCATGGATAGTTGAGTGGGGTAAAAAGCTACAAAATACAAAATAGCTAAGTATGAATAATATATCTATAAAATCTAAAATCTACAAAGAATCTATCCTCGATTGCTACAGCCTTATCTTAATTCAGCCTTACACTATAGTAAATCACAAAATTAAATGACTTGGCCTTATTCCTCATACCGTTATCAATATGACCTATGACCTGTATTGTTCAGCTCTAAACTTATTTAAAGGCATTTTAAATGGTAAATAGCAGGTTGACTGCCTTATTAAAATTACTTAACATTAAGATAAAACAAATATCTACACAAGAAAACATTAATTCATCTAAAATTATAAACTTACTCTGTAGGGGATCCAAATTCCTTTACTGAAAAGAGAGCATATGCCAATGAAATACTAAACCTCTAAAAATATGCAAGAGTTACTGAGGGGACATAATTAATTTAAAGCCAAAAAGGAAACAGGTTACAGACCACAATTACTTAATTGTTTGAAATAAATAGTAACAACACACGGCGGCTTGATAAATGAACTACTGTATGGATTCGATGCTAAGGGCGAAAAATATGAATTGGAGCGTTTATGGAAGAATTTATCTCGAAAACTACACCAGAGATTTTTCATAAACTGTCTCTATTGAGAGTCCTTTCGGTGTCTTGTACAGGAAGATATTCAATAAGGCTTTGAAATAACTGGAATCGGACAAAAAAGGACTAAAAATCGAAAAAGTCGAAAAAGTATTAAATTTTGGAAAGTGGTCTATTATTTTTACTGATTTTCTAAAAAGGTTTATAATATTACAATTCTAAGGATGTATAATATGTATTGAGTTACTGAAATTTAATTTTCGAAATTTTACCTTTTTGGGACTTTTGAACACAGGATTCCTCAGGGCGATTTTATCCGATCAGATAATGTAATATACCATTATACAGCCCTGCTAGCATTCAAGTTAAAACTATCCTAACATTGATCCGGATACCGAAGTAGTTCAAAAAAGCAAAAAAAAAAAAAAAAAAAAAAGCAAAATAAATGGTGCTCTCGTGAAAAACGTGATTTATCCGCCAGATGTCACTGAAACAAAAGACATTATATATAACAAGCGATGAAGACAAACCCTACATAGTTCCAGTAAACCGAAGCCATAATTAATTACATATCTAAAAAACTAATGTCTATATTTATTGCTTCTTTTTACTGTATATAAATACTAGATGTTTTACGTTATCATTTGCTTGATAAAGATGAGGGTGTCATGGTCGAAACGTTGCATATTAATAAACCAATAATTGTTATCCCATAAATAGTGTTAGTGAGTGAAATTATGGTACACCAAAAATCTATTATTTTCGGATTTGGAGCCTTTTGTGACATCATGTTCTCGAAAACTACTTCTACTATTTTTACTCAGAGTCATATCGGTGGTCTAGGGTGTGAATTCAAATGCAAAAGCATTGAAATAATGTAAGTGGTTCAAAAAGGGCCCCAATCTTTGAAAAAAGTTTAAAATTTGTTAAAATACTGAGAATGCTCTTCTAATTTCCTTTTTTTGGGGCCAAAACTGCGAAATGGATCTTTCTGAAACCTCTGGTGCAGGAAGTTAAGTATCCAATCCACTTGTTAAAACTATCCCGACAATGATCCCAAAACCGGAAATAGTCGAAAGAATAACCGAAATTTTGGAAAAAAAACCCAATAAAAAAAATGAAAAAAAAAAAAAAAATCGCGCTTTTGGAAAAAAGATGATTTCTACGCTAGATGTCACTGGGTCAAACGCCGTTGGATAGCACGAATTATGGACAACTATATGAAAACCAAATGATACAAATTCTAGGGTGTGCATCTAAATGTAAAGGCATTGAAATAATATAAGTGGTCCAAAAAGGGGCGTCAATCTTTGAAAAAATTATTGAAAATGCTCTTCTATTTCTCTTCATTTTTTAAAAGCTGCTCCATAGATGGTTCGGAAACTTCTGGTACAGGAAGTTAAGTATTCAGACCACTTGTTAAAAGTATCCGGACAATGATCTGTAAACCGGAAGTGGTCGGAAAAATATCCGCTATTTCGGAAAAAAAAACGTAAAAAATTGATACTTATGCGAAAAACGCGATTTCTCCGTCGGATATCACTAGATCAGTAATAATAATAATATTATTTATTTCTTTATATGCGCCTCACATCGTAAAACAATCTCAATGCGTAGTACAAAAACTTATATGACATGGACATATAATATGACATCAAAACATATAAACATATGTCATAAACACATATAATATGGCATAAACACATATAATACGACATAAAAACAAAGTAAAAATTAAAGCAATAATAGTGTAAGTGAATCATTCAGTGTAGTGCTTTTGGAAAAGATGTGTTTTTAGGTGTTTTGTAAAGGAGTTCATGGAGGAGGAATTGTGAATAGAAAGAGGGAGAGAGTTCCATAATCGAGGGGCAGCATTAGCGAAGGCACGCTTGCCGTACGTCACCTGGAGGAACGGTCGGGCTGGCTCAATAAAAAGTACCTCAGCTGAAGAGTGGGCCCGCCTCTGTGGAACTCTCTGTGTTAAAATGATCAGACAGATAAGGTAGTGCTACCTGATTGAGACAAGTGAATGTGAGAATTTTTAATTCATTGCGGCTGTTCACAGGTAGCCAGAGGAGATCGTGGAGAATTGGAGTGATGTGTTCATTCTTACGGCTGCGTGTTATGAGTCGTGCAGCAGAGTTTTGGATAGATTGGAGACGTTTAGTTAGAGAGCTAGGATAGAGATCATGCAAAAGACTATTACAGTAATCAAGACGTGAGGTGATGAAAGCGTTAACAAGTGATTCAGTAAAGGTGCGGTTTTACCATCATTGAGTACAAGTTTGTTAGCAACTTATGTATCGTAGGATAGCTCGATCAATGCGCTATCGTATGACACTCTTTCCGCTGCGTCCTGAAAGCCGGTTCACTGCTGCTTGCAGGTCTAGCTATTATTATTATTATTATTATTATTTCACTCTTTTTGGGAAGAAGTACATATTCTACAGAATTATACTCTATACTGTCTGAAAGGCATTTACTGGGAATAAATAATGAATAAATAAGACTTTAGAAATGTAATCAGGAAATGACGCCATCAGTGCTACGTGCAGATCTAGTTATTATTATTATTATTTAACTCTTTTTGGGAAA